CTCTCGCTCGCTCAAGGAGAGGTGCTACCAAATGAAAGAGCTCTCTTTTGTCGACTTACTCCTTTTGACGTCTTTCTCTCTCTCTCTCTCTCTCTCTCGTGGCGCTGCGACTGGTTTTCTGGCGGTATGTGCTGCTGACCTTCTGCCCCCGCCGGGTCTCTGCCTCCGCTGGGTCTTCTGCCTCCGGTGGCCTTCTGCCACCTCTTCTTGCTGTGTGGATTCAGTCCAGTCCAGCTGGTATCTGTTGAACCAGGTCCAGTGGGGTTTGGGCATTTGAATGGCCAGAGGCAGAGTCGGGGTGGGATCGAGGATGAGGATTGGATGGGCCGATCGAGCAGCTAGTGGACATCTGAGACGTGCTCAGCATGGTGCCTTATGCGTGATGCCTGGCTGTTCTGTGATCTAGGAGTGAGGCGGTGTAACGGCCCCGCAACACCATCCGTCATGGCGACCAAGGGCTACGAAAACAAGCGCTCAGAGGTCAACGAGCTGCGCACCCTCTTGCGCAACCCGGAGGTCCAGCGCGACCCCCAGCGCTATTGCGAGGTGGTGGAAAAGGTCACGCTGTACCAAACCCTGGGCCTCGATGTCTCCTCCCTCTTCAGTGACATGGTTTTGGTGCGTTCTTGGCGCCTGATGATAAACCACCTCCCTGTAACCTTGTGCCTCGCGCACCATGAGGAGCGAAGGAACACATTGCGCCTTTTCAAGCTCATCGTTCTGGCACGGCACACCCATATTGGCTCTGCACTTGCTAGGCGTGCGCTACGCGCAGTCTGGTCCAAAAAAAGCTCGTGTACCTATATCTCTGCAACTATGCCCAATCCAATTCGGATCTGACCCTCCTCACAATCAACACGCTGCAAAAGGATTGCCGTGACACCAACCCCATGATTCGGGGCCTCGCTCTGCGCTCCATGTGTGGTCTGCGGTGCGTTGTCGCCATTCATTTGCTCCGTACTTTGGTGGATCCTGGTGTTTCCCATGGCCACGACAGCGCCTTTTGCGATTGCTTTTGCTCGCGCCCGCCCATGGGCTATCACACCATCATTTTGGCATTTGAGCCCAGCGCCATGATTTGCGTCTTTGCCAATCGCAGCCGACTCATTTGCACTGCCTTGCTTGCCCCGCATTGCTCGCCCGCATTGCTCGTAGTGTGCCCAATCTGGTCGAGTACGTGTTGGTGCCTCTGAAAGACGGTTTGGCCGACAAAAGCCCCTACGTGCGCCAAACAGCCGTCATGGGTTGCGTCAAACTCTTTTACCTCGATCAGTCTTATGTCACGGACAACAATCTGGCCGAGAGCCTCCACGCCATGATCCATGACCGCGACGCACAAGTCGTCGCCAACGCCGTCATTGCCCTCGAGGAGGTGCGGCGGCGTCTTGGGCGGCGTTGATTCCTGATCCCTACTTTGAACCAGCTCTCAGCGCTGCCAAACAAACATAATACTGCCATCGACCTTTCTTGCCTCATCGTCTCTGTTTTGGCTTCGGTCACTGCATCTCTTCTGCCGTGCTTTCTTCAGGTCTTGGCTGCGCGTGGTGGCATCATGCTCACGCAGGAGGTTGCCTACATGCTGTTCAACCGACTGCGCGAGTTTACGGAATGGAAGCAATGTGCCGTCATGAACGTTCTTCTCCGCTACAAGCCCGCTTCGGACGATGAGGTCTTTAGCATCCTGGTGCGTTACCGGCACGCCATCCGTTTGCCAATGTGCCTGTCAATGCATGCGGCACTCACCATCTCGGCACACCCACGGGTCTTCATGGCATCGATGTGCCTTACCCGTGTCTGGATCCTCCTGGCAGAACATTGTCGATGAACGACTTAAGCACAGCAACACGGGTGTTGTACTTGGGGCTGCTCGCCTATTTCTGCACTTTACCGCAGAAATGGAGGACATTCAGGAAGACATTTACGAGCGTCTCAAGGTCTGTTCATAGCCCTACTGTCGTGCCCCATCCGCGTGCTTTCCATTCTCGAGACGTCTTGAGCAAAGGCTACCGCCAACTCCCCATTGCTCTGCTCTACCACAGCACTTGTCAATTTGCTCAGGCTGACCAGCGTTTTGACTGTGCTTGCTCTGTGCGCCACCGACTAGACACCCCTCATCACGCTCATGTCATCAGCCCCTGCGGAAGTATCTTTCAGTGTTCTTCACCACCTGCACACGCTGGTCAAGAAGCGCCCCGATGTGCTCGGTTAGATTGGATACGTTTGTAACGTATGGGATTGTGGGGTGTGTCACCCTATTGTTTGCTGCAGTTAAAGCCTGGGCTGGCCCTCACGGTCGCGGATGTGTGCGCGGCTTTGTATTTTTGCAGCCAAGGATTTCAAAGCCTTTTTCTGTCGTTTCTCCGACCCAGCCTATGTCAAGACCAAAAAGCTGGATGTGCTCGTGGATGTGGCCATGGAAAGCAACTTTGAGCCTATTGTTGAGGAGATGACCGCCTATGTGACAGACATTGATGTGGAGCGCGCCCGCCACGCCGTGCGTTGCGTGGGGCGCATTGCTGTTAAAGTGCCCGCGGCCGCCGAACACTGCACCACCGTGGTATGCCCTTACAAGTCAAGTGTGGCGCTTGCGCACCGACTGGATGCACCCTTATTGCACCTCTCTGCTTCAGAATGCTCACGTTTTCTTTTTTTGTTGTGGGTGTGGGTGTAGCTGCTCGCGTTCCTCGAACTGAACAGCGAATACGTCACGGCCGAGACCGTGATTGTGATGCGTGACTACTTGCGCCACTCGCCGTCCGACGCCGTGGACCTGCTGCCCCAGCTCTTTGAGCTCATTTCACCCGATCTCTTCGATGATGAGTCGGATGCTCGTGCAGCTTTTGCATGGCTTCTGGGGGAATTTGGCGAACTTATTGAAGACGCCCCATATCTTCTTGAGGCTATGGTCGATGACGTCGAGGCTGAAGAGACCGCTGCTGTTCGCCTGCAATTGCTCAACTCAACGCTTAAACTCTTCTTCAAACGGCCTCCCGAGTGCCAGAAAATGCTCGGCCGTCTCTTGGAGACGCTGACCTCGGATGAGATTCAGCAAGACGTCCACGATCGCGCGCTTCTGTACTATCGACTCTTGCGTAGTAATCCTGACGAGGCTCGGCGCGTCATCAACGCCACCTTGCCGCCCATCCTTGATCATGACCGCTCAGCCATGACCGATATGGAACTGCGCGAGTTTAACACGCTAAGCGTTATCTATGGCCAACCCAGCATCAACTTCACCGTTCAACAGCCGCCCTACTGTACTTTTGGTACCATTGACCCCACCGCCGCTCTCAAGCAGGCTCAGCAAGCCAATGATGAGGATGAGGACGAGGAAGAGGAAGCCGATGACACGCCTTCCTTCACGCAAAGGTGATCCCTCCCTCCACTGCCTTGTGTCCACGTGCGAATTCTCGCTTCCGCACCGGTGCCCTCACTGCTTTTCGCGTGCCTGCCCCTGTCACTCATTTATAGCTCGCTCCTGGCTTTGCTGCCTTCTCCCAAGATCACGCCAGCTCAATTTGAACAAATTTGGATGCAGAGTGAGATCAGGTACTTTTGAGTCACCCGCTGCCAGACCTGCTCACCCTTTGGTCCCCGGCTGAGCCTGGAAAGCATTTGGTTGCTGTTCCTGACCCGTCTGCCCCCCTCCCTCGCTAACTTGTGCATAGCGCGGTGGCCAAGGACATCATTGCGACAGTACCAACACCTTCGACGGCCTCAGAAATCGAAGCGGCCATGAGCAAGAGTGGTGTTGCCATGATGGCTTCCAGTCCACCTCAAAATAATGTCATCAAGTTTTATTTTTACGCCCAAGAGGTGCGTGCCGGGCTTCCATATGTCTTGTGGATCACCCTTACCGTGTTCCCTCACACCGCCGCTTCTTGTCTTTAGGCGGCTAGTGGTGCTTACCACTTGGTTGAAGCCACCCTCGAGCTTGACAGTCGCACCTTCTCAGCTAACATCAAGAGTACCGCACCTGAGAATGCACCCGTATTTGCGGCCGTCATTCGCGAAGCCCTCGCTGTCGGGCATTTGATTGAAATGTGAAGCACGGCGATGCATCGCAGTGCGAATTGATGCCGTTCATCCCCAAATCGGTTTTCTTAGTCCTGCAAAACGTGATCAAGGCGAATCTTCATTCAGACTGAGAGTTTGGCTAGTCTTTTGCCAAAGAGAAAAGCGCGACGATCAAAGGTCATTTCACTAAATTCGACTCTTGTTTCGAACAGCTCATTTGTTCAGCGCAAGAGCACACTCGTACACACTCCGATGCTGTCAATCAAAAACAAGAAAACAAACACCGCCTCATGTCCAGTTTAATCCGAAGCACAAGCCGAGCAGCGCATCAAACCATTTTCATTACAGGCGGTGCAACGAAGGGCCACCATATCGCCAAAGTGCGCCGTCATCGAGCGCTTGTCGCCGCCGCACCAGGTGCACGGCACAAAGCGGCGATCGCCACATTCCCCACAAACGCCATGCTGCCCCAATTCTGTGCGCGGAACCGGTGCTAGCAAGGCAGCTAGCTTGCCCGTTTCATGCATACGCTCAACCGTCGAAGCATCACCGAGCAAATCACCATTGAAGAAGACAACCGGTGGTTGCACGCCTGGCGCCCGCTCCGAAAGTTCTTCCTGTATGTCTTTGCTCAGCGCCATGTCTCGCTCTTCAAAGGGCACGCGATAGCCTTGAAATAGACTGCGCATTTGACGACATGCTTGGCCTACGGCGCGCACTACTGAGAAAGAGGACGTATACAAGACGATTTTGCCGCCGAGCTCCTCTCCCACACGGGCTTCAAGATCGCGCAGAAGGTCTGCTTTGGAGATTGTCGTCTTGAGGGAGCGCTCAGCTCTCTGCAGGAGATTGCTCTTGGTCTTGCGCACCAGTCCAGCAGTGGCTGGGATTGATGATCGCCGTCGCCGCTCTGATCGTGATAAAGGGCGCTCCAACTCCGATGGGGTCGTGGCTGGAGGCGCTGCGTATGAGAGAGCTAGTTGCTGTACTCGTCCCACCAAAGGTAAAGAGTCACGCCGGCTGGAACGGCGCTGTCACATAGGTGCGAATACATGGAGTATGAGGGTCAAGAAGCTGGGGTTGAGCAGATCCGTTGGGCAAAGAGAAACCGACAGTGCTCCTATGCCAATTCTTTCACATTTAACTTTTTTTTTTTTTTTTTTTTTTTTTTGTGGAGGGGCTGTAATTATTTATTTTTGACCCTGACTGTCTGATCTCATTTGTTTTAGGCACAACCACATCGCTTCCCGAGTCGTTCAACATACCCGAGTGGGACTGTCCAAGCGTGCTGCAGGCGTTTGTGCTGGCTCTTGAAATGCCTCAAGGCCCGCTGCCGCATTGTACACGGCGAGGAGGACGGCTTCTTCAAAACGCCGGAATGGCCGGTCCGGCAAGAAGCTGAACGTTTCGGCACATGCCAGAATAGGCTTGCCAAGGTCGGCAGCATCTACCAACTCTGCTACCTCCTATGGGCAATTGAATCACAAGTGCGGTACCCAGTCCGTATCAACGTAAACGTGAGATGAGACTGTGCTCAACAAATAAAAGCCTTTCCAGCAGAAAGGCCTGGCAAAGGTGGAGAAGACAACAACACAATGTCGCGAAAGTCGGCCCAACCTTGTAAATCAAGTCCCAAACCACCCAGCGTTGATCACCGTCGTCAAAGATGACATGACCCTCGTTTCCATTGGTCTGCCCAGAGAGACTGGCGTCCCATGCTGACTCAAACAGCGGATGGCGAGCCACAACGCGCGTCCCTTCAGCGCTTGCCTGGCCCTCGGCGGGTGTCAAGGGGTGGGAGGTGCGCAGTACATCTTTGCTTGGCAACCAGGCTAGCTTTCCCTGATCTTTGCCATGTGTATAGCGAACAAAAGCCAGAGGTCCGTCGGCCAGGCCCGCATGTTGCGGGGCCAGCTGGCCTCGAAATTGTTCCAGCATGTCGCGTGCAATGTCTTCCACCGTCATCGTACCCGGGACCAAAGCGATGATCGGCAACAACGAGAAAGCCGGTTGCTCCGGCGCCAGCGGTGAGGCCATGTCCTGCATACGAGCCGTACCTTGGCTAAAGTCTGCAATCATTGGCGCCGGCAACGGGATGGGCTGACGCGTCCACGGACATACCACTGTGGCCTCGTAGTGGCCGGCAAGCTCGTTCCAGCGCTGTGCAGCCGTGCACACCAGCTTCTCATGCGGTGGCAGCAGACGGTGGATGGCTCCGGCATCATCCCCAGCCACCAGCTCTCCACCAGGACCGCGTAGCAATGCACCAATTGAGGCACCGATAAACAGACGGGCAACCGGCTCCTGCCGATGAAAATGCCAAATTGTGACCGTTTGATCGTCACCAGCGCAAGCCAGATGACGACCGTCGCCGCAAAACACGGCGGCATATACGCGATCCGTATGCTGCAAAGTACCACGAAGCGAGAACGTGTGCAAATCCCACAACACCACGAGTCCGTCGTGAAAAGCAACGGCCAGGGTTGTATCATCAAGGCTGATGTCTATGCCGTAAATGGTCGAGTTGGGAACGCCTGCGGGTGCGCTGACCTCCCCCAGCAGTTGAAGAGGCTCGCATTGATAAATTTCCACCTTGCCTTTTGTGGAGATGGCCAGGCGCCGAGCGCTCTGGCTCACTCGCATTTGCTGACCGTTGACGTTGCCGGCCGTGGCGACCTGTTCATCGTCAAAGGCATCCACAATATGCAGGCCATTGCCGCTGAACGCCAGGTGACGGCCATCCGGAAAGGCAGCCAAGCTACTCGTCACAACTCGCGATGATACTGCCGCCTGAGCCAGCCCCTCTGCGAGCCGCGTATAAACATCTGTGGCACGGTCGTGGGTGAAAACGGCCAATTGTCCTCTGGCGTCGGCAATGACCAGGCGTCCGTCGGCCAGCTCGACGGGGTTATAGCCCAAGGCCACAAAGGGCGAGCCGTCGGCATTGCATAATCGACTGTGCAGCGAGAGTGCGGGGTAGTGCCAGAGGTAAACGCCGCGGGGGCCGAATTGGCCCGTGGTGAGGAGTAAGCGGGTTCCTTGCAGCCAGCAGGTACCCATGATGCCTTGGCCAAAGCCCTCTGGACCAGATCGGCCCTGAGTCGGGTGAGTTTTGGCCGCAGCTAGATCCCAAACGAGGGCACGTTTATCCCAAATGCCGCCGCCAGTCACCAGCCACTCGGCACTGAGATCCAGCCCAAAAATGGTCCAAGAGTGGCCATAGAGCTGCGCTTGGACTTCGCCAGAGCCAATGTCCAAGACGGAAATGCGCTTGTCGGCACCTACGGTAACGACAGTTGTCTCTCGCACAGCCAAATTAGTGATGGCACCTGTATGGGGCGTGGTCAAGTTGGGAGCGACCGGTAAGAGCTGGGTCCGGCTCTTCAAAGACATTCGACGCAAATCGCAGCCATCCACGACATATAACACTTGAGACGACGCATGCCAGGCCAGCAGACGCAAGCCCAGGAGACGTTCACGCGCATCAAGACGATCCGGGGGTAGATGAGCCAGATCCGCATGGGCAATCTGCGTCAAAGCCTGGCCATCCCATTGAAGGGCTCGCACAGCTGTTGGTTGTTCCAGCAAATGACCATAGGAATATACAAAGACCACGTTGGATGTGTGATCCACTGCCAAACCCAGCGGCGTGCCAACCTGAGGTACAGCCATACGCACGTACACATCTTGATGAAGACTGGGCGTTGTGTTGAAACAAAGCCGAACAGGCCAAATCAATGCCATTTAAACATGGCGTTGAGTCGAACTTACATCCGTAAAACGGGCAAGCTCACGCCGAGCCTGCAGGTCCCAGACCTGCACACAACCCGGCGTGACACGCGGGGTTGTATTGGCAAGAGCAGCCTGTGTCTCTGAGCAGGACACTACGGCAAGATTGTCACCTAGGAGGGCTACATCCTGACACGCGCTAAGTATCACAGCACCAAATACCACAAGCAGGCACATGTGAGCAGGAAGCCTTGCATTGCGCCATTACAACGACACTGGGAAAAAAAAAAAAAAAAGATGGCTGCCCTCTAATTGGATGGCATCGGCATACCCAGCAGCACAATCCAGGCGGTGAAGGATGGATAAATCTGCTGCTGCGACGAGGAGAACTTGACCATCATCAGAGGCAGCGAGCAAACGCGGAGCTGCTCCGGCTGGCTCGGACGGGGCAGGGGGAAGCACGGTCATGTTGTTGATAGCAGCACTGGCAGCATCGCGTACGGCCTCCACACGACCCGTGGCCATGTTCCATCGTCGAAGCTGACCATCACGTGCACCCGTAATGAGTGCACCATGAGCAAGCACGCACGCGTAAATAGGGGCTTTGTGGCCCGCCAGCTGCATGGAGCAGGCTGGCAATGCTTGAGGCTTATTCAACCATTGCAGCTGAGGGCCATCCTCACGTGCTAAAAGCTGTGCTGCTTGCGGCTGTAGGTGGCACGAGTCTGGGGCATTGAACGCAGCACAGAGAAGGGCGCTTGGCTATCAACAAGCCGGAGAGAAAAGCGGCAGCGTGGGGACACAACGGTGCAAGCCGATACGGCCAAGAATGAAGTGAGCACAGCGCTTTGTCAGAGGAAAGCTTCCACAGGGCTGTGAAGATGATCAAGCAAACAAACGCAGCCCGTGCATGCAAATCCGCATATATACGTACGTCGAAGCGCAGGAGGGGCAAAGTGTTGAGCAAGAGTTGCCAAGTTTCTTGAAGAGCAGCACGTTGTTGGTGCTGCAGGCATGCATGGATGTCGTCCAAAAGCTCATGCACCATGCCGTGCACGCACTTGGCGTCGAGAAACTCAAGCTGACAAAGAAGTGCAGCACAGTCATCATGTCGGCCTGCACGGGTCAGGTGGTACGGAAGTTGTGCGAGCTTTCGCACGTTGACCAGTGCATCGTGCTCTGCCTTGCCAGCGGGAAAAAAGAGTGGCTGCTCGCGTAACCCGTCAGCCAGCAGGTCATGAACCCGTGCCAATACAAGCGCATCGATTTGTGTCACATAGCGCTGCTGTACAGCCTGGCGAATGTAGTCATGAAGAAAGTTGAGGCGCCCTGCAAGAGGGCGCAGGGATGAGGATACGGTGGCACAATTGGAAGCATTGCACCAAGCCGGTGGGACGATGGGTACAGAGAAAACGGGAGGTTGACAAGGAAAAGAGATTGAAAATTGGCCCACTCACCGCCACGATCGATGAGCAGGTGACGATTGACTTGCAGGGCCGCTGTGATCAGGAGCGGTGCTGGCTTGTGCGGAGAGCTGCGATGCCAAGCTTGCAGCAGATGATACACTTCAATTTCCGGCACACCTTCCCGACTGACAAAAATGGCGCGCATGAGGGTTGGCACCAGCTCACGGTGCTCAGCAAAGGAATCATCGATTCGAGCCAACACCATATCCAGCAGCTCCGGCACAGCTGGCGCTGAAAGCAGTTGATCCAGCTTGTCATCAAGGCGGTAAAAATGACCAAAGGCAATCAGCTCTTCCAAAAGCAGTAGAAGATGAAGGGGATTACCACAAGCGGGGCTGGCCACAAGGCGCGCCAGTTGGTGTGGCGAGAGCTTTTTGCCGACGCGACCCAAAATTGTCTCTGCGATCGCAGTCTTATTCGGCGCATCGAGTGGTTGGGTTTGAAGGGCCACGTAGTGTCGATGTTTGAGCTCGTCTTCGCAAGGGCCCGGCAGTGTGGACACGATGAGTTGCATGTTTGGGGGAAGGTCCACAGGCAGCCACGCAAGGCTGTGCACTGTGGCGCCTCCCAGCCAGGGCAACTCGTCATTATCCAACTGGTTGAGGGCATCAATGACCACAAGTAGGCGGCCTTGGCCTTGGTCCTGGCAAGACTTGGCGGCCGAGCGCAAGAGTTCAGGCAACTGTTCAACCAGCGCTTCGGTGCTGGCACTGACGAGAAGCTGCGCGCGTTCAGGAGATGCGCATGCAGTGCACAGCCGCATCAACAGGTTGTGCAGGGCGGTGCTCTTGCCATCACAGCCACAAAAGTGGACAAAGACGCGGTCGCGGGGGTGGCGGGTTTCATGTGCCACGAGCCAGTTGGCTAGGAGTGCTGATTTACCACTGCCCGAGGGTCCGAGGACTGCCACGGGATTCTTGGCTGCTTTCACGAGATCTTGAAGATTCTGCCGCAAGGTATCGGCACCCAGAAAGAGAGAGCGTCGGGTGTTGGCAAAGTTAATGTGACTATTGGCTTCGTAGGCATCTACTGCGTGCGCGTCCGCGGCGGGGACGGGTAGGACGTCCGTGAGGAGGGCCTCAAGGAGGTGATACATCTGCTCGGCGGCTGCTTCGGGGACTGTATAGCTTTGCGTGTGGATCTGCAAGCTTGGTTGGGCGAGAGCGAGGTGCTTGACGTCCGTCTCAAGCTGTTCTCTAAGACGAGCGGACTCGGGATCTGGGTTGACATAAGCATGTGCATCGTCGTGGCCAACCCGTTCGGTGGCGAGCCGGGCATCATAGGCTGGGTCGCGGAAGAAGAACATGGCGGGACGACGGTCTGGGGCATTGAGGCAGCCATGACGAAACTCCAACTCGGTGATGGAGCGGGACGCCCATTGCATGACAAAAGGGTAATTGATGGCTGCGAGTTTGAGATTGCCATCAAGCCACTCCGTGGCGGGGTTGCCTTCGATGCGATGAGAGCCGTAGCGTCGACCATAGAGACCGACAAAGACATCGGCACGATCAATTTCGCGGAGACAAATGTCGAGGGTGCGCTGCTGGCTTGCGTCCTCAGCCGTAATGCCCCAACGCAAGTCGGTGCAGGCCAGAGCCACGCCCGCAGCCTGGCATTGATGCTGAAGGAGTGGGAGGTAGCGCTCAACAAAGGCGCGGCGCTCGGTTTCCAGGCCGGCAAAGGGCGAAGAAAGAAAGACGTTGAGCGTGCGTTCACGCCGCAGCTTGCCAGCTAGGTGGCTGCGCATGGCTTTGGATCCAAGCTGGGTCATGACATGATCACCAGGTGAGCTCGTGGGAGCCGTGGCATGGGGCGTGTTCTGGGACTGGGACTGAGCAAGGGGGCCCGCCTGGTTGATGGGCGCAAAGTGGCTGACTGAAGTCTGCGCGGGGTCGGAGCTGGACCGAAGAACCTGCTCCGTGGCTCGGGTGGTAGCGGCTTCATATTCAGTTTGGACGCTTTGTGGGATCATGAGTCCAATGGTGGCATACAAGGGCAAGCGCTCGGGCCTATTCAAAACCTGAGCCAGCTCTCCTACAAACTGAGACACGTTGCGGCTTTGTACAAACACCTGAATGCACCGACTGATCACGAACACGCCGACAGGTGATGTGCACAAATGCGGGTAGTGAGGGAGAGCGGTGAGCCGAGCGCGGTGTGCACAGTTGCTGGGTGACACGCAAGACGGGGTGCCGCACTTAATTTCAGCTGCCTCCAACGGCGCAAGCAGCGTGCTCGTCTGTGCACGGAACAGCGCAAACTTGTCTCCCTGCTCCATGCCGTCGTTGTACAGCGCTGTCACTTGTTGTGGTCGCCCAGGCAGCCACCACCACCACCATCAGTACCATCAGCATCAGCACCAATGTGAACCGGCACCATCAGCACCATCAGCACCAGCACCAGCACCTTCAGCACCAGCATCTTCAGTAGCAAATGAGGCAACCATGTTTTTGTCAGCTTTTTAACAACAACAACAACAACGATGACCGCTCGATGTCAGATAAAGCTGGATCTTGACAGCATGTGTGTGCGTGTGTGTGTGCGTGTGTGTGTGTGTGTGTGTGTTTGATCGCGAATTTCTGATCAGTGGGTTTGTTGAAAGTGGCCGAGAGGGGGGCGGGAGGGGGGCAGGAGGAGGGGATCTTGGGCAGAGGGGGGATCGGGGGCAAGTGGCATGATCGGATCGGATCTGTTCCCAAGGCTATTTGGCAAAGGTGGATTGGGTTCCTATAGGTGTATCTTATCACCGTGCGTGTTGCTCGCTCTTTGGCAGGCATTACCCCGCCCCACCCTCCAGCAACAACAACAACAAAAAAAGGACATGAGTGGGGCAACTAGCGCTGAGGCGCTGGGAGCCAACGGGCTAGAGGCTGCGCCTTACAGCGGCTGGCTCATGGTGAAGTTCAAGGGCCGCTTTTCTAAAAAACAAAAGTTTTTTCTCAAGTCATCGGCCCGAAGCATCGAGGCCTTTGTGCGCGATAGTGCTCAAGGCGGCGAGCTGGTTCTTGTTAGCGCGCTGGTGGCCCCGACAGCTGGCTTTCGGGCGCAACGCAAGGGGCGCAGCGCCGACGGGCCGTCGCGGCTCGTGGTCCGGGGCCGGAATGCTCAATGGCGCATTACAGGCGATCATGCTGAGCTTGATGCCCTTCATGCCAGCCTTCGCGCTACCGATGCCCCGCTGGAGGCCGAGATGAATGCCACAGATGGAGATTCCCCGATCGCTATTGCCGGTTTGTCACAACCCATACCGATTATGTGATTATGTGTCTGCATCTTGGCTTGGTTGGCTTTTGATGCACGCCTTGTGCCTGCGCTTGCAAACGAATCGGCTCGACCCTTGCTCTTGCCCTCACCGCTACGTTTTGTTGGCAACCCCGCCTTGGTCTCTTGGTCTCGGCATGAACGCTACACGTGCAGGAGAGGTGAACACGTCGCCACAAGAAGCTTTGATAGTGCCGCTTCCTTCCGCCGGCCCTGGTACAGGTACTGAAGCCGAAGAAGTGACGCCAGAGCAAATTACTACTTTGCTGCATGGTGGCCTTGATCATGGCCTGCGTGCACCACAAACCGCACTCGCCCTATTCATCTCCTCCACCTTCACTGGTGCGTTGCCGCCTTGCGCAGCGGCCGTGCAACAGTGGTGATCCTGTGCTAGGTTAAGCCAGCTTTATGTGTGTCAGTTGCTTTTGTTGATTCATTTTTGATGGACGCCCGGTGGATAGATACCGAGCATGAGCGGAATGGCATGATCGGCCAGCTCCCGGCGCTCAAGGCGCTAGCCCGCAGTCTGAGCCTGGACCTTGAATTCTCCGAGATGCGATGGGGCGTTACCCCCATCCTTTCTGCCCATCACCAGACTACCGCACTCTGTCTTCAGGAGCTGCGTCGCTGTCAAGCTAAATCTCCCTCACTCAATTTTGTGGTGCGTATGAGTGTGCGGGCGTGTGTTCAGGAGCGCACACGGGGTCTGCTCAAATAGGGTCACGCATTCACGCCTCACACTCAACTCACACTGCTGTGTAGAGCTTGTTGGGAGATAAGTACGGCTTTCGCCCCTTTCCCAATCTCATTGCTGCCTCCGACTTTGAGCGGCTGGTTCCTCTTGTGCGCTCGAGTACAACCCAGGAATTGCTGCGCGCATGGTTTCGAGAAGATGCCAACGCAGTCCCTGCCATGATGGTGCTATTGCCCATTCATGAGCGCCTGCCTGAGTATCTTGGCAGTCAAGACGCCGCAGCCCGACGCGCTGCGTCCAACGCCTGGTGGGCTCAGTTTGAAGAGATGCAGGGTGCACTGCGTCAGGCTGCCCTTGATCTTCAAACTCAGGATGAAACTTTCAACGCCCGCCCCTTTCTCATCTCCGGTATTCATGTCGCCCGCGCGGGGCGTGTTTTTGGGTTGCTTATTCAGTCAAGCTTTATGCTGTTGCCTGTGCATTCCTGGCTTGACTCACCCTGGTTATCCGGGTACCATCCTCCGTGTGTTTACCTCCCCCCTCGCAGTCACGGAAGATGAGGTGCAGACGCAGCTTGAGGAAACAGCCGATGCTGGGCAATGCAGCGTCTGGTATCGCCGTTGCTTCTCTGATCTGGCGCAGGTGCCTCCTTCAGATCGCTGCCTCAAGCGCTATGTTGACATGACTGCCGATGGTCGCGACCACGATGCCCAGACCTTGTTGGCTGGGTTGCACCAGCGCATGATGGCAGCGCTGCCCCATATTCATACTTATCCGCTCACTTACCACCCGGATGAAGGTGTGCATCCTGCTCAGCCAGCCCACCAGCAATACCTGGAGCAGCTCTGCACCGACTTTGAACAGCTTGTCACCGGTGCTCTGCACCAACTCAACAAGTCCATTGCCCCACACCAGCGAGACCCTCTCTTGTTAGAAGTGGCAGCCCATTTGCAATTTGCCGCACGTCGTGGCGTCAACCTGGTGGGCCGTGACACTGAACTTCAGAGTATCAAGGCCTTCCTGACTGCGCCCAGTCACGGACCCCTCGTGGTGGTCGGTGACTCTGGTTCGGGGAAAACTTCAGTCATGGCCAATGCTGTAGCCTCGGCAGCCGTGGAGCGGGAGAGCGGTACAATGGTCATTGCTCGGTTCGTGGGCGTAACACCTGCGTCGCGCACCGCACAGAGCCTCATGCACTCGATCTGCGAACAAATTATGAGGACGGGCCGATGGGCACCCAAGGGTGAAGGCAACGCCCCCGGTGAGCTGCCAACCCGATACTCTGACCTGGTGCCGCTCTTTTCAGAGGCCTTGGAAAGTTCCTCAGCCGAAACCCCTCTCATTGTGGCTATTGATTCTCTCGACCAGCTCTCAGAGAGCTCAAACGGTCGCAGCCTGGCCTGGCTACCCATTGTCTTGCCTCCCCACACCCACTTGATTGTGTCTACGCTCCCACAGGCGCAGTACAAGTGTCTCCCCAGCCTGGAAAGTGCAGCAGCACGGGCACGTGCCTCCAACACAGAATTTGAGCTGCAGAAGCTCACCGTCCTACCACTCAACGCCACGCAATGTCTGGAGGCCTGCATCATCTGGCTTCGCATGGAGCAACGATGCATCTCCGAGGCTCAGCGAGCTCGCTTGCAAGCTGCTTTTGAACAACTCTCTACGCCCTTGTATATGCGGGTGGCATTGCAGCTGGCACGCCATTGGTTCAGTTACACCGAGGTGGCCGCCTTGCCCGCGACAGCACGCGATGCCATCAACGTACTCTTTGAGGAGTTTGAAAAGGAGCAGGGTGAAATTGTTGTTCGGCGGTTGGTGGGTTACTTTACTGCCACTGTGGGTGGTGTGAGCAGTGGTGAAATGCTGGATGTCTTGAGTTGCGATGATGAAGTGCTCAACCATGTCTTTGAGTGGTGGCTCCCACCCCGCCGCCTGTTTCCTCCATTGATTTGGACTCGCTTCCGCACACTTTTTGCTCCGTTTTTGGTACGTGCTTGCGCCCACCTCATACATCAGTCCTAATACACCGAGACCTTTCTTGCAATCCCCTTTTCATGCCATCCGGGACTATCTTCCTAAGCTGTTGCCGTTTTTTTTTCTTTTCCTTTACTTCTCGCCCCCTTGCTACCCTGGACAATACGCAGACCAGCAGCACGGTTGATGGTGCGGAAATGATCTCGTGGCATCATCGCCAATTTTGGGAGGCAGCCGAGGCACGATACCTTGCCACAGCTGAAGATCGCCGACTGTGCCATGCTGCGTGGGCCGACTACTTTTGTGGTCACTGGCATGGTCGTCCCAAGCCTTTTCATTATACCCAAGCACAGCTCAGTCGTTTTGAAGAGACCATCGTGGAGACCGAGGGCTCGGATCGGTTCGATGCGTATAAGCAAGGCGTAGCTGCCGAACAGTTTCGTGATGTCCTTGATCAACCCATCTTCTGGCCTCAAAATGGCACACCTAATCGTCGTCGAGCTACTCAACAGGCCCATCATCTGCTGGCCGCTGGTCGATTCGAGGAAGTTGCTCGTGACATTCTGCTCAATTTTGAAGCCCTACAGGCCAAAGTCCAGGCTCAGTCCGTCTGGGACGTCTTGCGCGAGGCTGAACTGGTACTGGCCGAGTCACTTGACGCTGGACTGAAACGCAGCGTGCAGCTCTTGCTCGAGTTCTTGACGCTCAAGTCCGTGGACCTCAATTCGTCGCCACGCACATTGCCCGGGTTGCTTCACAATCACATTGGTTTGAAGCAGTTGCAAGAGCGCGGCGAAACGGTCATGGAGATGGCTCGCTTGCTGCAAGCGGCTGCCACCTATGCTCGCGAGCATCAGCTGCTACTGCCCAATTATGCGGCGGGAACACTTGTGGGCGGACCGCTGCATCAGGTCTTCCCACTTCCCTTCTCCAAACGCCAGTCCGTCCCTGTTACTTCAATCCGCCTATCCAGCTCGCGCGACACACTGTACGCAAGTTACAACAACAAGTTTTCCACCTTCGATCTAGCTTCTGGAGCACTTGTGGGCGAACTTGAGCTCTTCCGGCATGCTCGATGCCAATTGTGCGAGCCACAGCAGCGAGTCATCATGTCACACCACAACATTCATGTTGAGGGGCAGGGTTACCAGCGACTTGAATCTGGGCGCATCGTTTGCCTCGAGCTAGCCACTGGGCGCGAGTGCTGGGCCCGTGAGTTGGCACAGTTTCACGAACTCGTTGGTGTCAACGAGCAGGCTGGGCAAGTCATCTTTCAGGACGGCCAGCGCATCGTGTTTGTGCAGATTGAAGATGCCCAGGAAATAGTCTCCCAAGATCTGGATGAGGAGCAAAAGCTGACTGCTGTGGCTTGCAACGATGACGGCACGTTCTTGAGCATGGCTCTTGAAACTCCGGTGGCTGATGGCGATGACGCCCTTCCCTCGACCGCCGTGTCGGTACTGCAGCTGCAGCAGCACAGCGTAATTCTTAACCTCGTACTGACAGACTCAGTCAAGTCATTGGCCTTTGCAGACCAGGATCGAATTTTGTGCATAGCTACCTCTGCCGGCTGGCGTGCGGTGGAGGTAGCGAGCGGAGCTACTGTGTCGTCATCTTCGACGGGCGCGCTCAAGGCGCTTGTGGGCTCGCAGTCTCATTTGTGTGGTCTGCTACGCAATAACAAGGCCTGCTTAGCCGACGTTCGCACTGGTCAGGAAGTGCGTCAATTTCAGTGCGGTATGATGCCAGTGACAGCCATGAACCTTTTGAGTGACCCTTTCCTTTGTACGACCGCGGGGTATGATGGCCAGGTGCGCTTTTGGCTGAATCGCGACGAGCTTGCGCTTGATCCTACACTACACCACAACGAGATGCCACGCAAACTGTTCCACACGCAACACCATCTCATTTCATGGGCCAGTGAGCCATGCATCAAAGCGTGGTCCCGCCCTGGGCTGGCACACTATACTGATCTCAAGCTCGCAGAAGCCCCCGCCGATGCATGCGCATTGCCCAACGATCAAGTCTTGGTTGCGATTCGGGACAATTTGTTAATTTGGGATTTGCCAACTAAGAACTGTGTCTACCAGCGCGCGATGCCCCGCCAAGTGGCGTCACTGTCCGCGCAGATCAGGCCAGCTGAAGCTGCCGGGGCCGAGGGTCCCGAAGGACAAGTTATTGTCATTGTGTCTTTTCGCCAGGGCGAAGGCGGAGCGCAAGTCTGGGACCTAGCTGCCGAAATGGCTGTGCAAGAGCATTTGCAAAAGGTAAACCCCTTACAGCTGAAGCAAGCCAACGCCGACGAAGTGGCTGCACTGCCATTGCCCGAAACAGAAAACGGACGGCCTGCTTTGGCGCCTGCCTTGGTGGAGCGAGCGACACAAGATCCATGGTTGCGACATGCGTGCTTTGCCAAGGATCGTTTGAACATCAGTCAGTGGTGCACGGCACACTTTCCGCATCTTCTGGCCGACCTTGACACAAGCCGAGCGGAGGTAGCCGTCAACAATCGGCATGCTGTCATGGCCGACAGAAGCGGCCACATCGTGGTACATGGCTGGGACCTCGAGGCTCCTGTGACTGGAACCCACCCCTTCACAAATGCCCATGAAACTTACAATTCACTTCGGGTGCAGGTGAACGATCGCGTCGTTGTGCTGACGTACATCAATGCAGTGCTGATCTACGACCTGTATTCGTTAGCCCTCTTGCGGGAGACAAAAACCGAAGGCCCCTACATCGTGGGCGTCGACGCCTGTGGTCCCGATCTATTTGTCTTGCAATTCCTGGGAGGTATCGTCTCTGTGATGAATGAGGAGGGCGAAATCCTCCTGACCGAGGCATCTCCATCGGGCCTTCCCTTTGATTTTCAGATAGCCGGACCCTTCCTGGTGGGCCGCCAGCTTCGTCGGGCGGCAGTTTTTGAGCGCTCATCGACAGGACAATTTCGCGAGGTGGCTGATTTCTTGGCAGGGGGCTGGTTGCCTGTCTTTGAGGCCATGTGGGTGGAGGCGGAGGCTGAGAAGAACGACGAGCAAGTCGCTAAATTGGAGGTGTTCACAATTACGGTGGAGGGTCAAGTTATCCCGCTGACGCTATTGGCGCCCGCCAATGAGAATGCGACCGCTGTTTCGATGGCTTGAGGCATTTTTTTGTTTTTGTTTCTTCCTTTGGCTAATGATTCTTGCCTGTAATCGTGGGTTGTGCCGTTGTGGTAGTCGTGTGCTTTTGTGTCTCCTGTATGTCTGTTTCCCTATGTTGCTCTCTGCCACCACCATGCAATTGATTTTCCCACTCTTGTTATTTTGCTGGTTTCGGGCCCGTTACAAGTGGTAGGTTGCAAGTTGCAGGCAGCTCTTTTGCCACGAGCAGTCACAATCGCATTTGAAGTTGTCGTCGCAGCCGCAGTCCATCCGACATCCTGAATGGACTCTTTTTTTTTTTTTTTTTTTTGGTGTGTTGTGTTGAAAAAGAAACAGAACAACAAAATCACTGCAATTTATTTCGTCGTTTGTTCAGTTCAACGAGATCAAGACCCGACTCAGACTCGGCACGATGGGACGGTGGACGGTGATCCTCCTGTTCGCAGCACTGAGTCAGGCACAGGGTGGCGGCGTAAGTGGCACGAGGGCGCGTTTGCATTTGATTTGTGGTGTGTTTGACCCTCATGTGTGGCGCTTGAACCTTTGGGATGGGAGTGCAGATTCCACTGGCCTGGCAAGCTCGAGTGGCTGGGGCACATGGTCTCTACAGCAGTGACGGTGAGCGGTGATGCTAGAATCTCGGGGCACGCAGGATCATGCTAGTCAGGCTGCAATCATCTCACTGCCACTCTTGGGGGCGAAATGGCAACATTTCCTGGAACTTGGTAGTGGCTGACGTTTCCGACGCGCACGTGGGCAACGGATATGTGGCGTACTTCCCTGGCGCCGGTCAGGAGACAGTGGCTGGCGTCTTCAACGGGCAACAGGACCTGTCTATCCGAGCCATGTTGCCCTCTGCATTGACCACCGTCACACTCACGGGCAGCCCAGCAATGGCGCGGCTGGGTGCCTTGTTGGATTTGGAGCGTATGTCCTTCTCCACCATGTACACCTTTAGCGACCTGGTCAGTGCAGCGAGTTGGCACGCTCGATGGTGACACGATCGATGATGAGCTCTTTTATGTGCCAATTGCATGGTATGGCAAGGCAAGTGTTGCCATTCACATTTTACCATGCTCAATTTTTTAACCGTGACATAGGTTGACGAGGGCAGCGTGGTTCCCGCGGGAGCCTGTGTTGTGGTAAGCTGACTGAGGGGGTAGAGTCTCAGATCTAGGCTTGATAAGAGAGAGAGAGTGTGTGTGTGTGTGCGCGTGCGTGCGTGCGTGCAATCCCCGCGTTCTCACACGAGACCCCACGTGCGATGGCTTGCCTGACGCATTAGCGGAGCTTGGCCCACCGAGCCTCGTATCACGTCACTAGCGTCGATCTGATGTGCAACAATACCCTGGGCCAGGCCAGCATCTCGGTTCCTTGGAGTACCGCTGCCCAAAATTCATCCGACGTTAATGTGACGGTTGGTCATCTCCCTGCTTTGCTTCCACGGTCTCCTATGTTAAGACCCTGGAATACATCCAAGGTGCCATTCCATTCACAACATCCTGTGCAAACGCCTCGCCACGCCACAGACGTCAACAAATTCTGGTTATGCGTGCGTGCACATGACCACGCTGTTGGTGGAAGAGGTTGGGGTGCCGCATACCGAGGTGGGTTCAGGGTGCGGTTCGAGCTTTTTTTTTTTTTTTTTTTTTTTTTTTTTTTAATTGCTCTTTTTGCGATTCGTCAATCTCCAACTCACGTTTCCATGTTGGTGGAGGATAGGTAGTGCAATGCGTGAATGACAAGAATAGCACGGCACCTCAGGGTGTGCTGACCGTACCCGCGGGCCAGATGGGCAGCGTGCGGTTGCTCGCATCACGTGCCACCAGCGTTGATGACGATCGCGCCGCGGCCAACGATAACGTACTGCAGCGCGCAGCGACAGCACTGCAAGCGGCCGAGCAGCAAGACCAAGACGCCTTCTATGCTGCTCATGTGGCAGCTTGTGCATCGCTGTACAGCAGTCGTATCGAGGTGGATGGCAACACGACGCTGGCTGCCATCGTCAACGCGTCCCTGTATGGCTTGATGACGGCCCTTCGTGGGGAAGTGACGTATAGCACCAGTCCTGGCGGGCTGGCCACCAACACATACCATGGGTGGGTGATATCGAGGTCTTGGATGTATTGCGTCCAAGCCGAATCGCGTGCAGTGGCGCTGGGTTCCTAATCAATCGCCTTCTCGGGCGCTGTTTGTGTGTCATAGGCACACCTTCTGGGACGTTGAGACGTGGATGTGGCCAACGCTGAATCTTTTCTATCCAGACATTGCGCTGAGCGTGTTGACCTATCGCAGCAACCGCTTGGGCGCCGCGGAGTCTATTGCTCGCTCACATCACATGGATGGGGCCATGTTTCCGTGGGAATCGGCTTTTACGGGACAGGAGACGGATCCTGCACCAGGTACGCTGAATGAGGAGCACATTCAAGGAGACATTGCCTTTGCATTCCGACAATACTTTCAAGCCACGGGCGATGGCGCGTGGCTCAATTCCACGGGGTATGACGTGCTCGCCAAGGTGGCCGCCTTTTGGGCATCCAAGGCGCAGCGCAACTCTGATGGCTCGTACAGCATCCCCGATATCATGGGTCCGGTAAGCAGAGGATGTGGATGGGTGCAGGTGCAAGAAAAAAAAGAGGTGAAGATGGAGGGCGCGGCGCACGATCTCAAGCCACCTCATCCTCTTTCTGCGGGTTGTGTGCCCTCTCCACGGCAGGATGAGTATCATGGTGGTGTGACGGACAGTGTCTACTGCAACGTCATTGCCCAATTGAGCTTGCAGACGGCCCATGACTGGGCGGCCCGAGTGGGTCGTGCGCCCAACGCGACCTTGCAGACAATTGCGCAAAACCTCCGCGTCTTGTTCAACGCGAGCACCGGCATCCACCCTGAATATCTGGGCTACGATGGCTCCACGGTGAAACAGGCGGATACCATCTTGATTGGCTATCCGCTGGGCTATAACATGACCGCGGCTGTACGGGCAGCAGACCTGAACTATTACCGCGAGCGGACCGATCCCCATGGGCCGGCCATGACCTGGGGCATGTTTTCAATCGGCTACCGGGATGTGGGGCTGGCAGCAGAGGCGGACGATTTCTTCCAACAATCGTTCGAGGGGAATCTGGTGGGGCCCTTTCTTCGATGGGCCGAGGTTAAGGGAGGTGGGGGTGCCTTCAACTTTATCACGGGTGCGGGCGGGTTTCTGCAGACAGTGTGGGCTGGCTACGGTGGTGCCCGTTTGACCGACGATGTACTGGAGCTACGGGCGCCAAGCCCGCTGCCCGGCAGCACGGGCTTGCTGTTGCGCGGCCTTGCCTATCAGGGCGGCCGTTTCACAGTCGAGGCCCGGCAAAGCCCGGCGGGTTGGACCCTGACGCTAGCACACGGTGGAGATGCCTCGTCGTTTGAGTTGGCCGTGGTTGCCGCCGCTGGCGTGATTCCAACGCCCGACCAATGGCAGCCCCTACCCGCTGGCCAGCCTCAAGCCTTTCAGATTGGCAGTGTAGTGCTTGTTCGCTCCAAGTCAGCGTGAGGCAGTGAAGCGTTTCGTGCGCCCATCTGTTCGTTTCTGGCCAAAGCAGAATTGTTGTGATAACATGGGTCAATTGCATCATCTCATCAAGGCAGAAGCCCCGACGCGAGAGCCTCCATCCACCGCTGTCACACACCACAGGAGGAGGAGATGAGATGCGGATGTCAGAAATTCTTCTACCGTTCCAAGACGAACACCATCAGCAAAAAACCGTTTTGATGGGTATCACACCGAGCCCTATACACGTTGTGACGGGTGACGATATGTCCATCTTCAAGCAGGGCATTGCCCGTGCCCGTACCCGTGCCCGTTCAAATACGGCGGTCTTGGGCTCATTCCATCGACACAGTCGTGCCACCCATGCCTGAGTACCTTCGCATGCCCGCCAACACCCCTCAGCCACCTGTCAAATACAGAATTTAAAAGGCCCCCTACGCCAAGTGTGTGTGTAGCATGTGTGACTGATGCACGATCATCAAAAGCCCCCTACCCACCAATTGTGTGATGTCACCCTTGCCCCTTCGCCTCCAACCACGAAACGTTTGCGTACACACTGTTGTTGGTTGTTGGTGTTGTTCAAAATTTCTCTCTCTCTGTCTCACTCACTGTTTGTGTGTGTGTGTGTGTGTGTGTGTGTGTGTGTGTGTCGTCGATCTGTCAGTCTGTCTGTCGGTCTCCCCAAACGCGAATCACAGCGTCTTGCGGCGGGGCTTGCCCACTGCAAACTACGCGGCGGGCGCGCCTGTCATTGGTCAACGCTGCTGCTGCTGTTGCTGCTGCTGTTGTTGCTGCTGTTGCTGCTGTTGCTGCTGTTGCTGCTGTTGCTGCTGTAGGGGTTTGTTTTGTGTGTTTGGCAGCACGCTGGCTATACCCATTGCCGTCTGGCTGGAGCTGTGTCCACACGTTGGGTGAGAAGAAGCGGGCGTGTGCGCAGCAGGAAGTTTCTGACTCAGTGGAAGAGTCAAGGGGGTTGGCCCCCAAAAGCCCCAACACCAACACCAGGTCAGACCTCATCCCAGAACGAACCGTTCGCTCGTTTCGTTCCACAACTTGCACACGCAGACCCCCCTTCGCTCGACCCACCATTCGCTCGTCCATCCCGGTTAGCCCACGCATTGTCGTCGGTCCCGGCATCTCCGACATCATTGCTCAGCCCCGCCCCATCGTATACCCATCTTGTTTGCTAATCTCGCGAACGAATGCAGGTGGAAATTCAGACTTCTCCTCCTTCCCCTTGATTCAGCGCTTATAACACACCTGGCGCTCGCTCAGATACTCGCCTGGCCAAGGTTAAGGCACGGTCACTCTGGCGGCCGTGTCTGCCTTGCATGGCCCGCGACCGACGACACACCAACCTGCATCAGCCCATCATGTACGTGAACTGAAGCCACTATCACCACAGCCCCGTCTCTTCATCAACGCTCCCAGCGAGTCCTTCCAGTTCTCCCACCACAACTCGCCGCTACGCGACGCCTTTCCCCCCGATGCCCGCGAAAAGCCAGGGTGTCGCCACTCACAAATCAACCCAGAATCTACCATGGACGTCAGCGGTGATGGCCTGGAGATTCCTCTCCGACCAAAGGATGTCCAACTCGACAATGTGGTTATAGACAGCGCCAACGACGACGGCGTCGGCCGCCACCTGCATGGCGGTGGCGATGGGCCCGACAATGAGGACAACGTCAGTGAAGCTGGGGACGACAGCCCCACACATCGCCTCCGCCAAGGCCTCGCTCGCTTCGGCGCCTTGCTTGCCAAGCACTCTTTCTTCGTGCTCCTCCTGGCCATTGCCCTTGGCTTGACCTTATACTACGGGCAAGGAAATGAGCGTGATGTCACCTTTGAAGGGGCTGGTGCTGGTACCTGGTCTGGCTTTGCCCTCATTGTCATTGTTCTGTGGCCTGTCTGCCGTCTCCTGGTCTGGCTCTCCGTGCTTCTCGCCGGCAAATGCCTCCTCAAGTACTCCATCCACTTTGTCCTGGAACGTTCCCAAAAGGCTCTTGCCTACTTTCTCTGGGCCCTTCTGGCCACAGTGGCCTGGCACGTCGTGTTCTACGAAATCAACCTCTTGGCTGGAACCCAAAGTGATGGCAGCTCAACGCACCGGAATCGCATGTCCTACATTCTTCGTGCCCTCATTATCAACGTCGCTATTGCTATTCTCCTCGTGCTCAAGCGTCTCACCGTTGTGCGCCTCAAGCTGCAGCGTCGTGTCGCCGACTACCTTAAGCGTGTCAATCGCGCCATCTCTGCCCAGGTCATCCTCGACCTTCTCACAGCCAACATCCGAGCCAAGGATTTTCGCAAGGCACACTTGGACCGCGTTCACCGCCGCGTTGTCAATTTGCTTCAGGCCAACTCGACCACCCGCTTGCCCCGCCGTGGTGCTGTAAATTCTGAACATGCTGCAGCGCGCCTCCAGTCCAAATTGCGTGAAATTATGGATGCCCGTCGCGCAATCCAAATAAGCCAATCCAAGCATTCCCGCGCCAACTCGCGCACGGTGGCCTTTTCAGAAGTGGAGGGCCCAGACAACGCCATCATATCTCCAACTCAAGAGTCAAATACTTCTGGTACCGGTGGCATTCTGCGCCGCCGCCGCATGCAGCCCCTCTCTACCATTAGCACGGATGGCTCCCGCACTCCGGACCGGTCTGGCCTGCAGACGCCCAAGGATTCCGACTCACCAACCAGCGTCACTCCACAACCCAACCCCAGCATCGCCACATCCAAGGCGCCCACCCGTCGTTTTGCCTGTGCGTGACACCTTGCTGCCCTGCCCCCCCCCCCCCCCCCCTCATGGAACCCTTGCCCCTTTTCTGCCCGCGCGCCCTTGCCCGGTATGCGCATGGTGTGCGCATGGTATGCGCTTGAGCTGACGCGCCACATGTATGGGTTTTACTTTTTTGTAATTTTTCTTTTTCTTTTTCTCTTTTTAACAGATGCCATGCTGCCGACCACCAACGAGGTGTATGACCACACAAATCAAACAGAGAATGCATTTGAAGCACTCTTTGAGGAGCCCGAGGTCGATGACCTGCGGCAATTTCTAAAGGACACGGATACCATACAAAAAGATCCCATCATCGTGTGCCGAGGAGATGTCAAACTCGTCAAGAAGGACGATGCCGTGCAGCTGGGTCACTGCATCTTCAACCATTACTGCCAACTTAACCAGAAGCGTGAACTTCACGTGCCTATTACGCGCCTCGCTCGTGCCTTCAAGGGTCAAAAGGAGACACTTCAACACGAGATGTTTCAGATTGTGCGTCGTATCTTTGATCCCAATGACGTGGGTAGTTTGGATCGTCAGTGGGTCATCAATCGCTGTCTGCGCCTCTTCACGGAGCGACGACATCTAGCCCAATCCCTGTCCGACCTGGACTCACTGATTCGCTCCCTTAACACATTCCTCAACGCTGGCGTGTGTCTGCTGACGTTGATCCTCATTCTCATCATCTACTCGCAAGGCGTGCTGGCCGATTTCGTCGTTTCTGTCTCGGCTGTTCTGCTTGCTTTCAGTTTTCTCTTCTCCGACATAAGCCGTGTGACCATCAACTCGTTTCTCTTCACCTTCTTGCGGTATGTTGGCTCGAGCGGCGCAGAACTGACAATATCAACAGCCCGGTCCGCATTACCTCACCTGAATCCCTACCATTTTCATGCAAAGCCATCCTTATGATGTGGGAGATCGCGTTGTCGTTCGACCCGATCCAAATGAGCTGCTGGTCATGCGCATTAACTTGCTGACGACAACCTTTTACCACTGGAACGGCAAGCACGTGACATGGCCAAACCACCAGCTTTTTGACTCGGTCATTGAGAACATGCGCCGACCTAAATGGCACATTGGACTTCACGTCTTTTACGTCCCCATCTCAACCCCAGTCAAGCACATGGACGAGCTGGAGAAGGCTTTTTTCGCTCACATCCGCACCAAACCCAATGAGTTTGATTCCCAGCTATCACATGTCCAGATTTATGGTATCGAGGATATGTTTCGCATCAAGCTCGTGTTCCACACGGTTCAACGCACGAGCTGGCAGAATGCTGGTTGGTTATATCGTACTTCTGAGTGCGAGTCCCGTCATCCTCGCTGATTTCGAACACGAGACTGCCGTTGTCTGCACCAAGGCTTTTGTATGTTCATCGATATCACGTTGTCTCTCGTTTGGCATGATAGAGTATTTGTGGCGGGCGACTGCTGTATTCAAGGTCATCAAGGCCCGAGCCGAGGAGCTCGGCATTCGCTTTAGCGCTCTGGAGCAGCCCGTATCTGTGCGCTACGAAAACATGGCCACGCCGCCAACCGATACCTCAAACCACGGAGCAAAGTCCGAACCAAGGGGTTCCACCACACATCTTTAGGCCATGTGCCATCCCTGGAGTCCAATGTTGTCTTGCCAGGTCGCTCAGAGGGCCGATTTCCTTGAAGGATCTTGAGTTTTCTTTCCGTTTCTGATATATTTCGATCGTTTCCCCGCCCTCCGTTTCTCTTTCCATAATAATCAGACTTGTGAGTGAGAAACAACATTCTATCGTTTTTCTGGCGCTGGATGTGGTGTCACATTCATTCTTACACAAGTTTGGAGTCCTAGACAAAGCGAAGGCAAGCATGGATTGGTTGGGGGCAAGCTTTGTTCACAAGTTGCCAAAACCAAAACCGACTAAATATGTCAACGACATGTGTAAAAGAGCACGGCAGAGTGATACAACTCCATAAGAGCCAGGCTGTGGGCTCTTGCTCGAGCACGGCCGTAATAATCAAGAAGGAGATTGGAAATGAGAGGTAGCTAACAACGCACACACATACACACAATGTATACACACGCACACAAACACACGCACACAGGTGCACGCAGACACTGGCAGTCCGTCAGGACCGTATATGTAGCAGAGCCATCAGGATCAGGGTTAAAGCTAGGTCGCAAAGTATAAGAACAAGCGGGTTGGCCTGGTGCTCCCAGGCCACACCGGCGTCAACGCCGATCGCTTTATTGCACGTGTCCATAGACGTGGTTATCCACAACCACAGGCCCTGGGTTCGACACTGTTCCATAAATGCTGGCAACATTGCCGTTTCCGTTTCCGTTGCCGTTTGTCTATCAAGCGAGTGGTGGACAAACAAGACGCCGACGTGTGAGTCAAACTGAGGGATTCCATCTGTTTGCTCATTGTGTCAAAATTTGATAACAACAGTCTCAGACCTGAGCGGGACCACCGTTACTCTGCAATGAGTCGAGCACCAAGCAGTCACGGCACACAATTTGATGAGTTCCTGTTTTACAACGCAACCCCCATTTTTCCTTTACAAGACCAAAAAGAAGAAGATGAAGAACGGACCTTGTTTGGGATGGGCATGGGCGTGCCATAAACACCAAGCGCTGCCTCAGATTGAACGGGACGGTTCATGGGCACGGCTTGGCCTCGGCCACGACCGCCTCGCATCGCCATGCCCTGACCCGGTCCAACCTGGCCTCGGCCACGACCTGTAGGCACGCCTCGGCCTCGTCCTTGAGGAGCCCCGCGACCACGGCCTGCGGAAGCAGGGCCCGCCGCAAGCTGGGGCCGAGCAATGTTGGGCTGGCCGCGGTTAGCGAGCTGCTGCTTAAAACGTTGGTAATGCTGCGGCACGGGAAGAGCAGGGCAAATGACTTCCAGCTGCTTCTCCTTGTTTTTCATAAACATGGTCTCCGGGCCCGTCTTGAAGATGATTTCTCCCTCGGTGCCATTGCGCCGCTTGTGACGAATGGTGTCCAAAATCTTGATGACGTGCACCTTGCGCGAGGCAAGTGCAATTTGCATGACCGCCTCAATGACGTATGGCGTATGAAAGATCCAGTCGCCCTTGTCGCGATCAGCTTCGTGATTGGTATGCAACACAAAGATGCCGTCGAACAAGCGGCTCACGCTGATGCCCTGCGGAGCAGAAGCACCCCGAATCACCAAACACGTGTTGAACGTTAGGCAAAAGCCGGTTCAAGGGCAGCACAAGGTGTAACTTGGATGAGTGGACTCGGTAGATCGAACGACATGAGCAAAAAGACAGGCATAGAACAAGGCGCGGCGGGAAGACGGGCACAGCGCTTGAGCACCAACCAGAAGATCGGTAAACTCGATCCGGGTGTTGACCTTGAACGTGTCGGGGTAAAGCACGTAGAGCGCCTTGTTGGTCACAATAATGTTGTAGTTGCGAGGCTTGTAGCTCTGGCGATCAAACTTGGTCACGTTGGCCGCATACTTGACGCGGGTTTCCTATCAACCCCGAACCCCCATGCGCGAGCGAAGCAACATCAGGATAGACAGAGGCAGAAGAGACAAAAATCAAGTTCGACAAAAGATGACGGAATTGGACAAGAAATTTGTATCCCCATGTGTCGCTGACATACCTCGGCCGTTTTGAGCTTGCTGCTGTTGAAGATGGGTTGCAAAGGGTGCTGGGCAAATCGCACGGGCTCAAGGCGATCACTGACAAACCAAGTGGCAACCGAGTTGGGGTACGACAGCTTCTTCTCACGAAAGAGCTAGCGCCAGGCAAGCATCAGGCAACAGGGGTGCACAGGGCGAGCCAAAGGGGATGGATGAGTGAGTGGTGGGACGAAGAGTAAAAAGCGCTGGCTTTGAGCAGCGATCTGCCAGTTCGACGCTGGAAATCAGGCGGCGCACCTCAGAAGCCGCCAACTTTTGCACAAGCTGAGTCTTGATTTTGGGTTTGCGGTTGAGGTCATCCCGATACTGCTTGGCTTGATAGCGCTTGTGCAGCCAACGCAAGATATCCGAGGTTTCTTTGAGGTACGGGGGAACGTTGGGCATCCAACGGCGGTCCAAAATGGTGGGCGGCTACTCTCATTTCACGCGCATGTCCGTGAAGGCAGGCTGGGCTGCTCAGGGTTCAGCAGTGTTGCCGCACAAGCCTTTCGCATCCAGCCACAAGGACACTTGATAACACCATTGCACGTACCAGGTGATTGCACAGCTCAATGAGCCAGCGCGAGCGCACAAAGTCGAGAAACTCGGCATTCTCCAAGCAGCGGGGCTTGTGGCGCGCATTAAAGCCACGAATAAACCTGAGGACACAGAGAGCATCGCACGCATTGAAGGCCTTGCTTGTCGCAAGAGAGAGGGAAGGGGCGGGAGACGGGACCTCCGCACAGCTCTTTGCGCTCACTGCGCGCCAACTGCGTGCCACCCAACTCACTTCTCAATGACGGCTTTGGCGTGTTGGCGCTTGCGGATCCATCGAATCATGCCCCTATAGGGGGTACATGGTGGTGCGTACATCAAGGTCAAGATAAAGGGTGAGCACCCACGAATTCATATGGGTCATTTCATTGGGGTGTGAGCATCACAGGTGACGAGCAGCACGCACAGCTTGACAGTGTGATTGGCAATGGCCAAACGACGCCGCGTTTTAATGGCCAAGAGTCGCCGCCAGTGGGTGACCAAGACCAAAGCTAAAAAAAAAACCAAACAGACAAACAAACAAACAACAAAAAAATAATTCAAAATTCAAAATTCAAAACGAGCGTCAGAGCGGAAAGCGAGCACACGCAGTTAGTGGAAGCGCCATGTCAATAGAACACAGAAAGAAGGAAAGAAAGAAAGAAACCGGAAAAACAAAAAAGACGTGGCCCATCGACAAGCGGTGAAGCTGACGACGTACTCGCAGCCTTGAGGTTTTGGTAGTGTTTGTGTTGCTTGTAGCCTTTGTATGAGGCTTGAATCTTGCTAGCAATCCAGTGACGCTTGTGCTGAAAGGCATCCTCAATGTCAAACAAAGTTTTGGGGTTGCTAGTACAGGGTGAGACAGGATGAGGCAGGATGGGGTGGGTGGGTGAGTCGCGGCACACGACGGCTGGAAGTCAAGAGCTAGCGGGGAAGCTTCCGAAAGAAACGAAAATTGAAAGAAAGGTCAACGAGCAGGTGTCAGGAAGAGGAGGGCCTGACCGGATGAAGATTTTTGTTTTGCCCATGCGGTAGGCATCGGCTGGGACACGCAAAGCATCCATAATCTTTTGGATACCTTCCCGGGCGCTGCCACGCCAACTAGGCCAGGTTGCGGTTGATAGAGATTTGTACCTATCCCGAGATGCAAGTGGCACATCCAAAAGTTATGCCACCTGAATGAACGATCTGCTCAACCGGCTTTGGGAGCTGACCTTTCCAAGAAAATCTCAAACGGCCGGCGGTAGGCGAAGCCAGCACGCCGCACACGCAGGTTTTCCATCAAACCAAGGTACTGTCAACGCGTTTCAATCATGATAAACAAACAGAGACGGCGGGGAGAAGTGAGCGGAGAATTTGCGCGGGTAGCTGCTCGTGGCTGTCAGCAGGTGAAAAAAATTAGGACGAAAACGTCCTTGGGGCGAGGTCGCACCTTGACTTGGTGATGCACGACTTCAGTGTCAAACACGCCTGCGCGCTTGTTATGATTGGGCTTGATGCAGCGCACGTAGGAAGGGGTCTTGGTGCTCAGGGTCTCAATGAGGCTGTTGAGAGACTGCTTGAACTGGGTGCCTGCTGTCAAGGGACGGCGCTTGGCCTCAAGCTCCTCACGCGGAAAGCAAGCTAAGCATAACAAAGGGATTAACACCGTCCACCAAGGTTGAGTCAGACAAAACTGAGCTGAAAATGCGGAGTTTGGAGGGCAATGGATAGTGAGGCCGGACCTTGCAGAATGGAGCTCGTGGATCGAGACATGGCATCCTTGAGATCGCGGAAAAGCTGGTCGTTGTTCTTGTCAAGGAAACCAGTGACAGTGTAGACCACATCGCCTAGCGGGCACGCACAATTGTGTGTATGTCAAGTTGCATTTGTGTGAGAATGGGCTTGCAGTCAGTTGCCCTGAGAGCTGGGGAGCAAAGCTCTTGGGTGGGTACCGAGGGCATACCGGCATAATGGCGAATCAAAAAGTCTTGGTACTTCATGTTCTTGCGCTGCTCCTTATCCGCGCTCTTGTGGGAGAGAAAGTGCTGATGATGCTTGAGTTGGTTATCCAGACGCTCCAGAAATGTCATATCAGAAACCTCGCCAGGGCGCAGACACTCCTCATCCAAGACGGCAATGATGCCCTTGTGGCGCTCCTCGACCATGTCGCAAATGATTTTATTGTTGAAGTAGTCAATCTTTTCCCACTCAATGCCTTCGTTGCGGTATTCCTCCTGCTCCGACTTGAGTGTGAGCTCGATGAAGAGCTGCTGCAGCTTTTCATTGCAGTAATTGATGCAAAACTGCTCAAAGCTGTTGGTCTTCATGATCTCAAATCCGTAAATGTCGAGGAGGCCCATGACAGTCTGGCGGCCGTCATGATTATACTCGAGGGAGCGGTTGATGCGCTCAACTAGCCACGAGAACATACGGTCGTACATGGCCTTGGCCAAGGCATCACAGGCGTACTGGGCCTGCTCCTGGGAGAGGTCACCGCGAATTTCCTGGCCACGAGCCACGACCGTCTTGTGAACGAAACATTGGGACAAGACATTGAGCTCAACACCGAGAAGCTTGGCAAGCTTATGCACGGGCTCCATATCCTGAATGCGCGATTCATCACGCGTGATGGCCTCAAACTTGAGTTCGCCCATGTGAACGATGGCACCAATGATGTTGTACAACTCCTGTCAATGGCGAGCGCAAGGCGTGCGGTCGGAGTGTGCACACACAGTGAGGTCAGACCGGATTTCTGGCCGATGAAAAAAACAAAAAACAAAGAAAAAAGGGCTTGCGACGAGGTGGGTCAGGTAGGGAGGGCATGTGCTCACGTCGATTTCAGCTCGGTCAAAGGCAAGCTCGTCAAAGGCACGTTCCAAGTCTTGGTAGTCTCGCAGGTCGTCAATGGTGGCAACTTTTTCGGCATCTCCCTACCAGGCGAGGAATACACACGCATGCGAGCCTATCCGTGAGCCACTTTACTCCAAAGTGCTGCACCACATGGCTCGAACCGAGGTAACATTGCGATTGCCGAAGCAGGAAGTATGGGCAATGTGTGGCGAGCCTACTTGGTTGGTGTAGCGGTACTTGCTGGGTTGCGGGTCCAGCTGGAGACGCTGAAGCAAAGCGGTGTTGCCCGAGGCCATGAGCATGTAGAAAATGTGAAAGTTGCGCTCGCCAGGCATCTGATAGACAACGCGACACTTCTCCAAGAGATAGTTGACAATCTATTAAGGCGGAGAAGGAAAGGAGGATAGGATGACACTGAGCACTAGCAGGGCTTGAAAAAGAGGGACGTGGCTCCATGCAGCATCCCACATACCTTGCCCGAGAGAGGCTCGCCCTTGAAGTCAAAGTTGCAGGCCATGTACTTGCCAAAGCGGGAACTGTTGTCGTTACGGATGGTTTTGGCGTTACCAAACGACTCCAGAATCGGGTCTAGATGAACACAGGCCACGGGTCACAAATGGCACACGTATGGGCAGGGGCAGGATCAGCAAGAAGATACAGCGACACAATACAAACAGCGGCGCAACAGGGGCTGCTGAAAAAGAATGGACAAGGGGGCTGCCTCGTACTGGATTGTAGGAGGCGGTCACGGATGTTGCCAGCCTTGCCCGTGTTCGTGGACGAAAGGGCTAAAAACTGCAAGATTTTCTTTGAGGCCTCGGTTTTACCGGCGCCCGACTCGCCGGAGATGAGGATGACCTGGTCAAGGAGCTCATCTCGCATCGAGCGGTATGCTTGGTCGGCAACGGCGAAAATGTGCGGGGGCAGTTCGTAGAGATTGACATTTTGGTACATTTCAATGTGATCCTTTGAGTAGATATCGAGCTGATGGTACGGGTTGACACTGACACACACGTTGCCAATATATCTGTGGAGCAGTGCGGCATGGCACAGCGCGGCCAGGTGAGTGGCTAGGGGAATGGGGGTTCGAGTTGGACGACGGGTTCGCTCAGGTGGGGTTAGGGTTAGCGTCAGAGCAAGCATGACGGGTGAGGGGGCGTACGTGTAGATGATGTCCTTTTGGAAGCGCTGCTTGAGGTTGTTCATGAAGGCGTCCTCATTCCGGAAATTCTCGAGGAGCACAAAGTCCTGCACACCAACATTGTCGTTTTCGCAGTGCGTCTCGCGCAGCGCGCGACCAGATGGACGCGGCATGGTTGGTCCTGCAACGCATCATACCCAGGGCAGATGACAGAGTCAGCGTATGCATATGTGAATGTGATACCACTGAAGGGTTGAAGGAAGATCGCGCGGGAGGCAGTCCGCAGTTAGCCCACCGAAAGCCTGAGAAGCACACCTGTTGGTGCCAGATGTTGTGTTTGGCTCGTCAAGAGAGCTGTACCTGGTGCGGGATTTCGGGAACCACGGGCGGGCGACCAAACAAGGGCACGCTTGACTGCACAATCGCCCAGAGGCTCTCTGTGCGCCGAAAGTCAAGCCCAGGGAAGAAATCTGCAAGTCGATGCGGGTTGGGAGGACGAGCAAGCGAGCCAGCAGTAAGCACGGGGTATCGCTGAGAATCGAGCATGAGAGAGATCGGGCTGAAAGAAATCCCCATGCCTACGAGCCAGGCTCGCTCAAGCTCCAGAAATCGACCGGAGCGTCTGATTCAAGGGCCTGCTCCGACACGGTCCTGCTTCGCCCGTCTCCGTGTCCCACTCAACCCCGTGCACGATGGGCACCTCCATCAAACGCATTACTGCGGGGCCTCCCCCGAGCACTTGGGCTTGCGCACCATTGCGATCAGCGACAGCTATCGTGTCTTACCGTTGTTCTGCTCTGAGGGACCGAAGTAGAGCGTAGAGTCTAGTCGAGTCGAGAGAGTAGAGAGAGAGGAGAGAGAGAGAGAGGGCGGGGATGCCGGAGAGAGGGACAGTGGCGGCGGCAGTGCTGACCAACTGTAACTGCTGATAACGTTAACAACGAGAGAAGAGAGAGAGAGAGAGAGAGAGAGAGAGAGAGAGAGAGAGAGAGAGAGAGAGAGAGAGGATCTTTTTAAAACATCAAAGCAACATCAACAGAGAGAGAGGGAAAGCTCGAAGCTCCGCCCACCCTGCATGACAGTTGGTAAAAAAAAAAGTCCAGATTGTCAGCCTTTTTGGATAGCCAACTCGTGCACAAATGTGAATGGTTGAACGTATAAAATTCCGTTTATTTTTGTTTGATGATATACAAAGTAAAATCGGCTTCACTGCGTTCGTCAACTGGAATCATGATCGCAAAGCCGATGCGGCACGGGCCGTGCTCGGGCCTGCCCGCGGCTTTCCTCCTCTTCCTCGGTCTTGTTGCTCTTGGGTTCGCAGCGCAGGCTGCACACGGCTTTGTTGAGATGGGCGTTCTGCAACCGGGTGGTGCGGGACAACCAGTGCAACTGGTCAGCCTCAACGCGAATATGACCGTGGCGCACACGCAGCAGTCGTTCTCCCTCGGGGCGGGAGTACAGGAGGTGCTGCAGGTCAATGGCTTCCGCTGCCGACCCACGGGGCCCTTCTGCCTCTTCACCACCTTTGACGGCAGCACATCGCGCCTGTACAACGTGACTTTAGCCACCGCCCGTGTCACCAGCATCTTTGCTCTCGAGGGTCAACTCCGCGACTTGCACGTTGATCTAGCCACGGGAGCTGCCATCGCCGTGTTGACCAGCTCGGATGAGGCCACCGTCGTGCAGATCTTGGATGGAGAGCGCTCAGATGTTGTCCAGCTCGGTCCTTTGGGAGGCAATGCTTCCACCTTCCATCCTGGCTTTTCAACCCATTGCTCTGATCTTCAAATTCTTTGGGTGCAGCTCCATGATCCGGCCGCCTCGACAACCAGCGGAGCCACTCTGCATCAAATTGATCTCGCAGCAAGTCGCTTGGTACAATCCACTAACCTAGACCAACCATTTGCCGCGCTGTGGGCCAGCTGCATTGATCAGATCAACCTGAACCAGGTTGCTGGTGCCTTGCTAAGTCGCAACGGGTCACAAATTGCCTTTGGACTCGTGGCGAAAGGCTCGGGCCATGTCGAGACAGTGCATGTCACCTCCAGTCCGGACCCTCGCTTGCGGCTGTCAGGCGTCATCACCGAAGGCGCTGATACCGATTATGTCTTTCTCATGGAACTGCCCCCTGCAGAAGGCCGCGATGCCCGTGCGAGTACCAATACGGGCGTTGCCGTTCGGGGTAACTTTCATGGCACAGGTTCACTCGTCATCTCCAAGCTCACGGCCCAGCTCATAGGAGCCGCCCGTCTCTCTTAAGCAATTGTGGGTCAGGAAAGACTTTTTATGTGTTGTCCGGCTGTTGGCATGAAGGGCACAATTTTATCTAGAACTTGCTTTGATGAAACAGCTCTTTGCCTTGGTGTTTTGCACGCGGTTGCTCACCACTAGTGTCGGATCGCATAAGGCCTTGAGACCATAATATTATGCATTCGGGTGTAGCAAGACACCAGGGCAACCTCACGTGAGAGGAACGAGCTCGAACAAAAGGGGCATTCAATTCTAAACTGTGGCACACAAACAAGCTGTGCTCTGCAACGGTGTGCTTTGAACCCGCCCAGCGGGCGCAGAGCATGCTAAGGGCCAGTGATACGGGAACCAGTGGCCTCAGTACTTGGGCTGTGCCCAGACACTTGTGTTTCCACAGTTGGGCTCATCAACAATGCCCAAGCCATAACCGGGCAAGGCTGTGGCTGCGGCACTACGTGCCAGCTGCAGCGCCGGGCCCAGAGCTATGCATGCCCCCGCCCCCCATTTTGATATCAAGCATACACCAAAAGAGTCAAAAGAGTGATTGAATGAGTTGGCCGGCACGCGCTCGAGACGTGTTACCAAGAGTAAGAGAACCAGAACAATTCAGGCTTACCAGCACCAATGTACTCGGCATCGCGGGGATAGCAAAAGGCAATGTTATAGGGGTTGAGATCGCAGTAGGATGGATTGGCGGCGCCCGTGCTGTTGGGCTTGGGCAGCAAGTTGTACGAGGCGAAGAAGCGAGCCCAGACAAAGTCCGCAAAAGACTCATCCGTCTTGCCTGTCCTCATCCCATGTTGTCCAGTCGTGAGGAGAGGAAGAAACGTTGGTTCATGAGGTCATCAAGCAGGACTGGGTGACACGACGGCCCTTGCAGACGCACAGATGCGTGTGTACATACCGTAGCCAGCGTTGTTGCGCACTGCCCATGCGAGGGAGCGGTACGGGTTGTTGACGAGGTGGGTAATGTTGGTGGGCATTGTGTGAGGGTTCAAGAGTCGCATGTTGGTCTCATCATAGAGCCAGATCTATGCGACAAAGGCCAGCTCGAGTGTCTTGAGACGAGGGACGGGAGATATCGAAACAGTTGGCAGTGCGAGAGGCGGCTGCAGATAAAGTGTTAAACCATGGCTTGCTGTACCTTGTTGAGCTCCACCATGCGCCGGAAAAACTCGGGCAGGTTGTCAGTTGCAAAGTTGGCCTGGACGTTGATGGCAACAAAGCGCAACGAATTGTCAATGTCGGCCTGGAACAGCGCCAGCACCAAGTGATGGTGATCCTATGCACGTTCAAAGCAAAAGTGGCGGTGAGCTTCCGAGCTCGGCGTCAATCTCAGACGGAGGCAAGTGAGACGGACCGTCAGATAAAACCCATCTGGGCCAACATAGGCCGGAACCGGATGATTCTCGAGATAATCGGCCAAATCACTTTTGCTCATGGCGCCAAAGTTCTTCTACAAATGTTCAAAATTAACAAGCGGGAATGCGAGCATCGATGCGTCAATCGACCGTGAAAAAAGGAACAAGAAAAAAAAAAAAGGCGCAGGGTCCCGCGGAAAAGTCAAGGAGCTGCTCCGAAGGTAGTGGACGTACTGCTTTACAAAAAACCTCTTGATAGCCAGCCGAGTTTTGCGTAGTGTGGACATCGCCGGCATAGAGCAAGCAGGTATCGCCTGGGCCGTATTCGGAGCGTTATTTCAATTGGGAGACGAGGTGCGGTGAGCATGTCGAGTCTGATAAGGCAGCCGCTTTGGGTTTGACAACAAGACAATGAAAGCCACAGAAAAGGAAAGAGGAGCGGAAGGTGTCATGGAAACCTTACCGGCGACATTGCTCGTGGTGCAAAGGTCCAGATGTTTGGCAACAGCGAGGATGGACCCCGTGATGAGCGCAAGAAGGGCAGCACCGAGAGATTGAGACACCATCATTCGGGTCTGTGCCAAGAAAAAGCAAATTATCTGCCAGGCAGGCTGCTGTCCACTTGGCCACTATACCGAGGTTGCTCAGGCAATTGTGCCGTCGTACGCAGTTGTCTTCCAGCCAACAAACTCACCCGCTGTTTCCGTTGCTCTCCGCCTCCTCTGTCGCTGATCCCATGGTGGCAAGGCAATAACGAGCCAAGTCCCAAGGGCAAGCGAGCTGCATGCCTTGCTCAAGCCCCTTGACCCTGGGCTATCTGTCAAATCTCTCTTGCTGGTCTGTCTGTCTCTGTCTCTGTCTCTCTCTCTCTGTCTGTCTCTCTCTCTCTGTCTGTCTCTCTCTCTCTCTCGTCTTGCTCAAGACAGACTAGCCAGAAGTCCCAAGCGAGCTTCCCTCTGTCTCTCTCTGTCTCTCTCTGTCTCACACGCATTGCATTACCCAATACACCACCCATCGTGACAGGTTGGGCAAACATCAAACATCAATAAAAGCACAAGTGTTGAGCAACTTCTCAGAGAGTGTGTGTGTCCGCAATTTGAAATAAAAGAACAGAAATTAATATTGGAGTTGGGTACGATCATCAGAAACGAAAAGTCAGCCGAAAACGTAAATGGTGCCCTCGTTGCTGGTGGGGCGATCGGCCGAGGGGCTGCCGGCGTAGATGAGACCGTCGAGCGGGGAGTGGGCCAAAGCCGCACCGAGAGCATCCGACGTGGCTGCGTTGCTGGCCTGGAGGCGCCTTTGCAAGACATAGGTATCCACGGCGTGTTGGGCAAAGACATAAATGCCCCCGCTATTGCTGGGACCCGTCGCCATCTTGTGTGCCCCCACGAGGAGATGACCATCCGCTAGCGCCAAGCCCAGGCCAAATTGCGTTTCTGTGGAGGCATCGGGCGCCAGAACACGATGTTGCCACACTGACCGTGCTGATGGATGCGTGAGGTTGGCTGTGATGCGGAAGACATCGACGGCGCCGCGACGAAAAATGGAGTCGGAGTAAAACGGCGCGCCCACCGCCAACAATCCAGCGTGTAGGGCCACACTAAAGCCAAAATAGTTGGCCGTCGTGCCTGGCTCCGGTGAAAAGACGCGCGCTTGGAGCCCAAATATGCCGTTGGGGCCAGGGCGAAACAAGTAGACGCAGCCCGGGCCCTCGTCCAAAACCCCACCTACGGCAACCAGGTCACCATCCACGGCCACGGCAGTGCCGAAATTGCCAGTTGTACTCAGAATTTCAGAGCCCATCAGGAATTGGGGTGCTCGGAGCGTGGGCCAAGATGAAGTGATGTAGATGAAAACAAACCCACTAGCTGCGGTGGGCTCGACCGGGCCCGGTGCCCCGACGACCAAGTATAGATCATTCAGCGCCAGGGCTTGGCCAAAGCGTCCCGAGAGTGCTGAGGTGCCTGGGTCTGAAACGGCGTTCAACGCAGCGTAGCGTGGCAGGGCCGTCCAGTTGGAAGTCCCTTCCGGGGAATCTGCCAAACGCCCAAAGAGATAAATGCGCTCCTGACCCGGGGCTCCGACCACGAGCCGGTCTCCAGATATGGCCAGGCTGCGACCGAGTCTGCTCTGCTGGGACTGTGGGACAGAAGGGAGTTCCACCTCACCCAAATCGCGAAGCGTGTTGGGGCTGCAAAGGCGCATGCGTGCGAGGCGGGTGTGCAGATCAGCCTGATAGCCAGTCAATGCGGCAAGCTGTTGATTGAGATGCGTCAGGTTTGCCATCAACGCCTCGCTCTCCGAGCGCAACGCCGCAACTCGACGTTGAGCGGCAGCCAGCCCTGCCCCGGCAACGTCCACTCCTTGCACTACCAAGCCCGTGGACCGTTCCGAAACAGTGCTCCGAATGTGAAGGTTGCTCGCATAATCACTCGTCACCTCCACCTGACCATGCGCACCAGCGCTTAATAGCGCCCACAACAGCAAGAGTCGAGGTCCCGGCCACCTGGCCATCTTCACACACACAAAAAAAAAAAAAAAAAAAAAAAAAAAAAATTCAAGGCGGCCTCACGTAGTTTCACTGTTTTCGCCTTCTGTTTCCCATTTATCTGACATGCTGACTTTTGGGAATTGCGGACATTGACCACGACCGCCGTGATCGCCAACGCAGGTTTCACGCGAGCGCAGCTTGGAGGCCACATGGGCTCCGTATGCGTGTGCGTTTGTATTGGCGTCACGATCGTCAACATACAATCGACATTGGCGCTGTGGTATGCCCGTACCAAGTCGAAAAAAGCATGGGTTGTGCTCGTCGGTGATCAGGCTTACTCATGCAAGGACACGTTTGAGATGCGTCACGAAGCCCTGCAGCGCCACTGCGGCTGGGCCAGCCCAACTTCAGCTGAAGCGCTTTTTGGGACAAGATGAGCCCCCTGGTGAAGGCGTCACCAAGCCCACTTCTTCTTAAACCCGTTTTTGCGATTTGCACTCGTGTTTCTTCTACACACGCCTTGCCTCATCGACGAGAGCTCCCCAGCTACCCCTCTGTCCGCTTGGTTGCATCGGCCACACGCCCGCAACCCACTCTCCAGCGTCCGCCCAAGAGATCAATCAACATAGCAAGTGACCACAGATACCCAAACCACACTTTAAGCTGATTGGCTCCGACCAAAAGTCCCGGCGCTGCATCTTGCACACCAAATGCACAGCCAATGATGATGGCCTAGAACACGATCTCCGTGATCACGTTGATCGTGTACCGCGTCTCATGCGCTTCCCACAAGCGGGCGCCTATACGATCGTGATCGCGATCCTTGCCCCACCCGTCTCAAGCAGCATGATGTTGCGCGTGTGCCCTCGCCTCCTCTTGCCATCCTGCACTTGAGCTCCATGCCCAGCCGAGCCAAGCGACGCCAGTCCGGGGCAACCCCGGCTATATCTGTCCCGCGGCTCGTCTTGGTTGTCATTTTATTACTACACCTCAAGCAACTCAACAGCAACACGATCTACTGAGCACTTGACCTGTTTGACCTTCTTTGCGTGACTTCAACGAGCACTACTACCTCAACACCCAACATGGCGACCGCTATCAAGCACACCGACTCGGGCCGCCCCGCCCCCGTCAAGGTTGATGCCAATGGCAGCAAGATGAAGTCGATGTTCTCCAAGACCAGCGAAGAGCAGAAAATCAAGGGCGAGACCATGGCCATCTCGTCGACCTTTGAGAAGTACCTTGCTGAACGCGAGCAAGCCATCAAGTATGTTGTGACTGCGCTGCCTGGCCCTTGCTACAACACCGTTGCCCGCCCACCTACTGCTTACTCACACCATCTGCCACGGCAAAACTTGTGCTTGACTGCTTCTTGTCGCGCAGGTTGGCGCAAAAGTGGAGCCTGAGCGAGAACTCTGAAATGCGCCACTTGATTTCGGCGTGCACGGATAACGTGACGCAGGGCAATGATGTCATGCGTTACTACGACCAAACCTTTGAGCGTCTCTTCAGCACGATTGATCGCTGCATCAAGGAGAAGAAGCACCTTCACTCGCTGAACAAGGACCTGCAAAAGCTGGACAAGCGCATGGACAAGCTTGAGAAGGAGGCAGCCGAGGACCAATCGTCGGCGTAAGTACCCGGGCACCCAGCCCTCGCTTTGCCAAGCTTTCGGCCCAGCGACCCTGATCTGCCACTCATTGCTAGCTCGTGGTTGATGCACTTGTGCTGTATGGTTAGGTCCAGCCAGGAATCAGCCAGCGACATTCAGCAGAACCTGCACTTGGCCGAAGCCGTACGTTGTACACCTGGCAGGCTAATTTGTTTTCAGCTTTTTGCCGCGCAGATGCGCGTTCACGTGTTCTCACCTTTGTTGTTGTTGAAACCCGTTTGAACGCGTGCACAGACCCAGAAGGAGGTTTTGAAGACGTACCGCAACATGCACATGCGTATTCGTCGTGCCCTTTACAACCTGACGGTGGCTCGCATTGAGCAGCACCGCAAGATTGTGGCCCTCGACATCAAATTTTTGGAGGACTTGAACGAGTTCAAGTACCCTTCGGCCGTTCACGATGACGGTCACATGGAGTAAGTGTCACTGCAGCTTTGTTGCCTGAGCCTGTCACACCGGTCATGACTTTGCTCACGTATCTTGGTCACTGTTACTCTGGTTGGGCGTAGTTTCTCGAGCTTCAAGAACGAGCTACCCATTGCTGAGGCCACGAGCTGGTACAACAACGACTGGGCTCCCCCCAGCTGGTTGGGTGATGATGTCATTGCCCAGCTCGACGTGAGTGCTACCACGGGCTCAGGATTTTGCGTCGCTGCGATGGGTGCTAGGGCAAGGCTGGCGCGCTCGGCGATGCTTTGCAAAAAGCTTGTGCAGCTCATTTCATTTTGACCTGGTGTCGGCTATTGTAGGATGAAGAGGATGGCAACATGTCTTCGCCCGGCACTTCCCCCGGTGGTAGCCCCGCGCCACTGCTGCCCCATGACCACCACGTGGCTCCCCTGGAAAAGGGCCTGTACCCTGGCACGACGGGCATTCGCTCCATGAAGGCCGGCAATCATTACGACGACCCCATCGAGCACCCCAATCGCCCTGTGGCACAGCACGAGACAAACCGTGGCAAGGTGGATGCTACCTTCGACAAGCCCGTCCATGATTCAGACCGCGGCGAGATCGTTGAGCGCACGCCCAGCGGCCGTGTCAACAAGACGCAAATCTAAGCACGGCACGTACGTGCTCACCCCTGAGTGCCCGGATCTACCATGGTCGTGTGGCCTCTTTGCTTGTATGCATTGGCTGTGCCAACGCTGATCGTGCGCTGCCATGCAGTCGTGTATTCTATGTGTGTACATGTAATCGATCACCCGAGTTTTGCTGTGAGCATTTGAGGTGATGGTGTTGTTGTATGGAGAGAGTTTTCCCCATACTGGCCTTTGTGTCAGTTGAACCAATTCAATTGATGAAATTGCAATACATCACTGTTGATTCTGGGAGTTTGGATGGTGTGGTAAAAAGTCTTCAGTCTTGTGTGCGTGGGGCGGGAAAGGCATCCGAGGATCGCACAGGTAAACTCACTCAAACGGAGACAAGCGCGGGTCATGGCTTGAGACAATTAGCGAGCGTCCTTGATGGCGCGCAGGTCTGCCAGATCCTGCGAGGTGGCACATTGGAAAAAAAGGTTGTGTTGGCGCTCAGCACCGAGGGTGGATGGAACGGTCGGGGCTTGTTGGCTGCGTCGCTCCCGTGCCCATTCCAACTTGGCCTGAATCTCCGAACTGGAGGGGAGCATGTCCAGGGCAAATTCCAGGTTGGCCACCGTGTATTCGTGGCCTAGACAGCGCGTCCAACCCGGCAGAAAGGGGGGAGGTAATGGTGAACGGTGGAGTCGACAAAGGTCAGGCAGGGGATGGCGGATATGAGGTATGCATTCACCGATGAAATGTTGGCTGAGGGGTGCTTACCACAATACAAGACAGTGTCTGAAGGGAGTTGTTGATAGCGGGCAAAGGTATCAAAAAGGTCGTCGGCAGTGCCTTCGAAGAGGCGGCCACAACCACCGACAAAGAGGGAGTCACCGGCGAAGAGGGCGCCCGGGGCGCTGGGGTCGTTGGGATCGGTCACGTAAAAGCTGACATGATTGTGGGTGTGACCCCCCGAGTTGATTGCCTTGATTTGAAGACCATCAAACTACGCAGCAGCGACGAGCCAGTTTTTTCGAGAGCGAGAAGAAAAGTGAGCAGCGTGCAAAGACACGCGTCTCGCGGGCAAGCTGTCCATGGCCAGCAGCTTGGGGCACCAGCAACCAACATTTGGCTCGAATCAGTGACGAGCCCACTCACGTCGAGGGTGGCGTCGGGTTGGAGCAAGGTGTCCAGCTTATCGATGCGTTCATCACCACCATATACGGTAATGTCCGAGACCAGCTCTTGGATGGCCGCATTTCCACCATCGTGGTCGTGGTGGTGGTGTGTTGTCAGGACGGTGTCCAGGACCAGGTCCAGCTGCTCGGCCTAGGGTGGGTGTGACGGCAAGCAGCGAAGCGATGGGAGAGCGCTGGTCAGAATGCTGGTCAGAATGCTGGTCGCAATGGTACCGAGGCTGAGCATACGAGTGGCAGGGCTTCGGGCTGGGACAGAAAGCAACGCCGTCGGTACCTCGCGCACGAGGCTGGCGGGCTGGACGGGGTCGACGGCCAAGGCTCGGCGCGTGTGGCGGTTGAAGAGCAGAAACATGAAGTTGTCATCCAATGCGGGCAGTACGCGCACAATAAAGCTCTGGCCATGCGTGCAGGTGACGGGCCGCGAGTGGGCAGAGGCACTCGTCCCACTCAGGGTGCGCGTGACGCCGGGAGAGGAGACAGCCTTGCGCGAGCCCGCCACTGCCAAGGCATGCTGCGGTCGCAACCGGCAGCTGGCTGCTAGCCGTGCACGAAGAGCGGCCCAAGACACCATGCTATATTTCTTTCAAATCAATCAAAGACGGCCGCCAGTGTTGTCGTCGCCTTGACGCAGTGACCCGAGACAAAGCCGTGCAGTGTGACCCGGAAGCGAGTCAAGCAAGTTGCGACCGTGAGAAACCAGCGCAAAAAAAAAAAGCACAAAAAGCACAAAAGTAAAATACAAACTGCTCATACTCGGAAGGCGAAGCCAGTGTTGGAAAAAGTTCAAGTATCGAAATGACGTAAAAGTGTTGGTGTGGCTGTCCTCCTACACCTGCTTTTTTGTTCTCATCAGCAAAAGGAGGAGTGATGAACCTTGCTCAACCGTCAACCCATCAAGGAAGGAGGATTCTGCTCCCAACTCCACAACCACCACGAGCGCCCCCACACGTCACGAGCAGTAGCAGCTGCTGCTGCAAACACAAAGAAAAACACAGGAAAAACACGGCCTTTGGTAAAACACAAACATTGCTTGGTGTGTGTGAATCTGTGTTACACGTGGCAGCACACGATGATTTCACACAGCTTGCGACCCACATCCTCATGGTGTGTGCGTATGTGTCACCTATACCTGAACGCGCCTTGCCAAGCCAATACCAGCCCCAGGTGCCACACCCGACGGTACGCACACCTTTTGCGGTCCCTCAAAGAATGAGGATGCTGCTGATTGGGTGTTGATGTTTTCTTTTGTCCGACGTGGTTCATTCGAATCCTGCTGCCCACGGCGTGGGTGACGTTTGGTCATACGAAAGGCGCATACGCAGGGACGAGACAACCCGAACCATCGCTTGCCGAATTGGTTCGAGACAAAGTCGGGATGGATGGCAGCCGGTGATGAATTTGGTGGAGGTGATGATGGCAGCAAGCGGCTGGGACGGTCTGGGGCGACCACTTGCTTTGTGCCGCCCTACAAGTCGTGGTGACCCCAAAAGTCAGGGTGTGCCCTAGCAAGGCGAGACCTGACTGTGATGAGCTTGACCACGACCCCACCCTAACACAGAAAACCCCCAACACCTCGCACACCACTACTTGAACCACGCCATCAGCGCCACCTCACTCAAGCCAGCCGACCAAACCAAAACCAAACGAGCGAGCAATAGGACCACCACCATTCCTGATCAACGACGCCACGCCGACCACGACGCTCGGGACGCTGGGACGCTTGGCTTGTTCGCCCGGCACCACGAGCATCGCGCAACGACGACAACAACAACAACAACAACAAGGTTTTGAATCATCATGTCCGTACTGATGATCTGACACGTCACCATCTCCTCCATCACACGCCCACACCAACAAAATTATTGATGACAAACACATCAACAACAATAACAAC